AAGAATAAGCTGTGTTAAATAGGCTTTAGGTCTAAGTTAACTGTGCACTTGACTGCTGGTACAACATTAAAATCTTAGTTCTGTCAACTCAGCAATATGAGTAACTGACTTTATTAAGGCTTATTCATAGATGAGTTGGTATAAGCTCACAGCCTTGTTTATTTGTTTCTCCTGAATGATTTAGGCCCTTATCTGAAAGCAACAGGATGCCTCTAAATCCCATGGACTTCATGTGGTCATAGTTCATTTTTATTTACTTCCTTCAAAAATGATAACACTGTTAAGTTTTTTATATATTACACTGATTTAATTTTAGAACACTGATAGAAACAATTCATATTATGGAAAACAAACGCAGATTAAAAGAAGAGATGCCATTTTCATTTCTAGTGTTAATTTGCCTCTAAACATTATGAAATACTTTTGAATTTCTGGCATTTAAGAATAGATTAATATTGCATGAGAATAATGTTGGTTGGATGAGAATGATTTACACTTCTGACATTCAGAGTAATACCAATAACTGAATGCTGCCGAGTAAATGAGATGACTCAAATGAATTATTCAATAAATCCTGGTTGGAAACAACCACCAAGGGTGCTTTAGATTTTTTTTGAGAGTGTGGCAATTCAAGAGTGAGGGGGCTGTTTATACATAATAAGAACTCTCTGTCTGCAGCAAATAACTAGACCAAAAATTGCTTTTATATGCTAAAGGTGACTCGGCAAATTAGAGGAAGAGAAGGAAAGAGAAAATAATATGCACTCTTGTGAGTAAGACAGTTACTTACTTCTGAATATAAATGGTTATGCTTTCATTGACTGCAATCCTAAACTAACTTAACACAAAGCCCGCTTGCAAACTCAGAGGCAGGGCCAAACCAAAATGTTCAATTCCTTGAGGTAGATGAGATGGCAGGCATCTTATCTCATTTGACCTAAGAAAGCAAACTGGGAGATTGTTTGGTCAATGTTCTCCTTCATATTCTCAGAGCAGCTTGATAGATAGTTCAGGACATGCAGAACAGGGAAAAAAAATGCCCAAACAGCTTTGTCCTCCAATTGCTGTGGGGTGAGGGGTCTCAGAAGAAATGGTAGGAAAGCTGTCATTGCTGGTTTCCTCCATCTGATGCCTGAGGCAGGTTACCCCACTCACCTTAATGGTAGGGCAAGCTCTGCTCACAGGGACTACCAGCTAAACACATTTTAGATGAAGCTGCATAGCTCTAATGCAGCAGTCACTGAGGCAATGATAGGTGCCTTCCACCTTTTCCAACAATATCAAACTAGACATCTTTACTTAAAAGCAAACTCTACTGAGATCATGGATATTTCCTTCCACATATAAAATGTTAGGATCACCGGACAGGCTTCCAATAATAGTTCAGGTCAATGTTCACATAGACTGTCTGCAAAGACTAGCTGTGTGTTAAGCTGACACTGAGCTCTGCTTAAGGTTATTATCTTAAACATATAGATAAAAGTGCTTTTGAACTCATCTGGACCTGCATCTCAATGCATACATTTAGAATCAGACACTACTATTCTTTTTAAAATATCAGAACATTCCTAGATGTCTAAATAACTCAAGAGCTCTCCAATATTAGCACTATTTCACCACAATGAGGGTGTCAGCATTAGCATGAATGATATAGTCACTTCCAGCTATTTCTGTCTCTGCAAGAGGGCTGATGAATCTTGATCATCCCTATCTGCAATTATGGTAGCATAACATACAACAGCTTTTTGCCAGCTGGAAACAGCTCAGCTAACTGATTCAGATTCACAGGAAATCTAGCGTTTGGCTGGACTGCAGTGGAAAATCAGGACACCCCTTAGATCTGGAAACCCTGAGCGCAATCCTACACATGGCTATATAAAAGCCAGTCCTACCGAGGTCAATAGGACTTAACGCCAGGCAAGCGAAAATTGTAGTCTCATATGCCCACCTTCCAGGTAAGGAGTTAGCTCCCTATTCACATCCCCATTATTCTGCTTACCATACCCGCCTTACAACATTTACATCTATATGTGTGCATTCACCTTCATACACGAAAATACATAGACGAAGGGGCAGACGTTACACGTGTGCTGCCTCCCCTTGCTCAGACATAGCGGAGGCAGCACACGTATATATATTGTGTGGATTTTTTTTTTTGGCCAAAGTGGATTTTTTTGTTAACGCTTTTCTCATATACAGTACATATATGAGAAAAGCGTTAACGAAAACTCCACTTTGGGAGAGCGAAGCCACAAGGGCTTCAAATAAGTGGGGAGGGCGAGGGGGGGGAGAAGGAACCCCTGTCTCTTCTGAATGAGTGGAGGCGTGTGTGAGAGGAAAAGACGCCCGCAATTTGGGGGGGGGGATAGAAAGAAGAA